ACTTTGTCGCCTTTTGGTGTAACCTAAGTACGGTCTGTCACCCATGGAAACTTCGACAGCTGTCTTCAAAATAAACTGCAATGATAGGGACTGCTATTACGTTGGAGGAACCGAAAGTAATTGCGGACCCGTCTGCATTGACATGAATTGACAACACGGAGGTTAGACCCAAACTCCCAGTTTGCAGCGCAAATTGGAGAAACTGGTCATAATTTTGATCTCCAAGGAGCTATCATCCTAGGCCGGACAACTCAAGGACAGAGCGACTGAGGCTTGAGGTGTGCTAGTCAGATGTCAACTCCATCAACAGACATCGCCAACTTCCTGCAGCTTATAAATTTCTGTGTCGTTGCATACACAAGGACCAGGACGATACGGCGCAGGTGCGACGGGGCTGCGAACTCGCCCTATGACGGCAGTTGCCAGGCCCGTCAAACATCCGTCACTGGGCCGTGCCAGAGAAGGAATAGAACAACCGGCCAGTCCATGGGTGACAGGCTCGACACACTACTTGCCTTTCTGTTAAGTTTGTTAATTTATGGCTTTGAGATGGTGAGCTGACCGAGGTTTTGAAATGTTAACAGTTCAATATATCTGTTGTGGTGAGGCTTTCCTCTTTCTTAACTTATCACCACCCGATCTCTCTGTTTTGCCACTGTGCATCACTCGTTCGTATTTATCGTCAACCTTTGGGATAATAAATTAGAGTCAGAGTCGGTCTCAGTCCATAATCGGAGGGGCGGCTTACGCAAGGATCGCCAGTTCTAGGTTTCCCGCGAAAACGCTGGCATGCAAAATCAACGCGACGTCTTTCGCACTGCAGAACTCACTTGCAATATCGCCGCTTGATCGACTCACATTGAGAGCCAAGACACGGTCTTGGCTCCGATTCTATGACCTTTTCAAGGTGCAGAAAAAAGTCGCTCCCCTCTGTTCTGTCATAGCACTCAAAGGTACTCAAACTTACAGACTGACAAAACGCCTGTCTCGACGTCTCAGGTGTCTGACCTCTAAGTCAGACACTACGGGCAGCTCGTCAGCACAATTCTTGGAGAAACTTATACTCCTGCCACACGCGTTTGTGGTATCATCTGATGTCACGTTCCACTTCACTTCAATTTCTCAGAATTTGGCAGTCGGTACTATCGATTCACTCCCACAGAACGAATACGATGAGACGGAGAATCGACTTGGTCCTGCCCATATTCCCCAACTTCCGAAGTCCTGTCTGAAGACCTACTTCAGATTCAGCGGGACCGTCTGTGAGCAGGTGAAAGACACGCCATTGGGCTCGTCGATTTCGGGAGTAATGTCTGAGGTGGTCTTGCAGCGGCTGGAGTCAATACTTTTCTAAAACCACAGACCGAAATTCTGGAAACTGTCTGCGAATGATACGTTCGTCGCAATCAAATAAGGTGAAGTGCAGATTTTCAAACAACATCTCAGCCCTGCTCTCTTCGAAATACAATTTACTATGAAGGAGGAGAAAAGCAACCGGCTGACCTTTCTTGACATCCTCGCCTGCGCAAATAATGTGGTGACTTAAAGGTCGGATGTTGCTTTGTAGCCCCACGTGAAGTAAACAAACCCTAGTCACCTCAAATACGGGATCGGTGGTAACAGGGGTTTTTACACGTGGAGCCGGGGAACGCACAGGCGACGAGATCAAGTCGTTGTATACAAAAGAAAAGCTTTTTGGGAGTGCGTGGTTGTACTTTAAATGGTTGATAAAAAGTTGCGCTAACCCCTAACACTAACTCCAACCCCTAACTATAGCCCCTTATCCTTAATCCCGATCAGTAACTCCAACTGTTAACTCTAACCCTTAATCCTAACCTTAACCCCAACAGTATTGTGTCCATCAGATCGGGCTGCCAAACCACATCTTACCGGCATAAAAGCAAAAGTACGACAGATACGACGCACGTACTGAACTACAACAGCAATCGCCCAATCAGTCACAAATGCAATTACGTAAGAGCGCCAAACCGGTGTGTGAAGACGGACAAGGTTAAGGGATCAGAGTATCTTTGAAGGTTGCTTAGAGCGAAAGGCTACCCCCGTAATTTCGCCAATCGGTGCATGAACAAACGACACGAAGAACCAAATTTAAAGGTCCCCAAATTTTGGAGAGCTATCCCGTATGTGAATAACGCCTCGGAAACGGACAGTCATCTCCTCATGTTCATTTGGGGTTGCGCACAGACCGGAGGCAGCCACAAGACGACAGGTCATGTGGCCTACAGGTACACTGCCACGGCAATAAACGTGTGGAACTGTTTACCGGGTCTGATGCAGTAAAGAGAAAAGCAACTACGTCGGCGAAACAGGAAAACAAGCCTGGACGCGGATGGTCGAGCACGCAGCAGCAGTGAGGAGGAGCGACGCCAGCTTCTAAGTAGCGGATCATTCGACGGGACCTTGCTATATATTTAAGTTCGACGAGGCCGAAATTCATGCGATGGACGACAACCCCATGGGCTCTGGAGCTGCTCAAATCATGGTCTTACAGTCTTGAACAAAAAGCTCAGTCAGCTTCCTACTTCATATTATGCGCTGAGAATTTTCCTAGACAAAGTAGCTAGTCACGCGGAGAGCGTGCGGATGGACACTGTTCCTGGTGCAAGCGTCGGAGATCCAGCCGGCCCAAATACTCCCACGGGTGATTTAAATCCACAGTTAGCAACTCGACTGCGAGCACTTAGAAAAGTATCGCACCACATGCAACGGCCTACGATGAATTCGGGAGCCGACAACTTTTTCGGACATCCAGGCGCATAGCAAATGCACACTGCGACACCTGGCCAGCTAGAAAAATAACGTAATATGTGCAGTTTTCTACGAGGCATTCGAAAGCTACCAATTCTGAGAAGCGCGTAGTGGCACAGCAGCTACATCCTTTAAATATCGAAACACCTGTGAGACCTACTATCCTAAACAAGTGGCAAATAAAGTCCTCATTCCAGCGGTCGTGCCGCCTTCTTCGCCACTGCTTCCTGGAAATCGCCTTTTTGCTTCTATGGATGTGTGATAGACTACGAATATCTTGTTCAGATGTGATGACGGGAGCCATGACGATTGGCAAACTATGTGGACGTCACGCAACTGTGGCCAAGTCCCGGCAACGTGGACAGTCCCGCGAAACAATAAACGCTACTAAATTCAAATGAGTAGCGCGTATACGCGATACAACACTGTCTCATTTGCCCGACTAAACCCGACTACCTACAATAGGTGGGCTAAGTCATAAAATGCCGACCGAAATTCCGAAATGCGCTTTCGTTTCGAAAACATTAATTAAATAGGGATGTAAAACTAATCATCATGCAGCATAATTCCATAATCATTCAGTTACCTCAGGATGCCGGCTTTTGAACAAACCTCTTTTCCGCCGCATGCGAAAACGACACTCCGTAAAGATGGCTAATTAAGTAGCATGAATTTTTCTCACTGATTTTCAATAACCTTAAAACTTCAATCATATTTCATGGAAAACATGAATGAAAATATTCATTTTCTTGCTTATTCGGAAGAAAATGGCGTCTTCGTCCATTTATACAATCGAGGGAAGGGTATGATTAGGTTTTCATAAACTTTTCCTATTCCGAAGAATTTGAACCCGACTTACCGTTGCACTTGCATTCAGGGTTTCCAAACTACAAGTCGTATATTTTCGGCGTACGACAAACCATATATTTCTCTACGGTATTAAGAGAGAACCATACGGGTTTCATAAAATGTAACAGCGAATTTGAGCCATAGTGTTAACTTTACAAGACACATTGGTAAACGTAAAGACATGACGTTTAATGAAGAGCCATTTCATGGTATTAAAAAACCTCACAATTAGGAACTTTTTGAAAACCGAGTTATACCCTTCTCCCGAGTATGAAATTGGACGAAGACGTCATTTTCTGCCGAATGAGTCAAAGAGTGAATATTTTCATACATACTTTCCATGAACTATAATTGACTTTTTAAGGGCATCGAAAATTATTGAGGAAAATTCATGCTACATAAATAGTCATCTTTTAGAGAGTGTGGTTTTTACATACGGCGGGAATGAATTTTGTTCGAAAGCCGGCATCCTGTGGTAACTGAATGGTAATAGAATTATGCTGCATGATGATCAGTTTCACAACCCTAGGTAAGCAATCTTTTCGAGTGGGACACGCATTGTGGAATTTCACTTGACATTTCATAAATTAGCCACCCATTCTATACCTAAAACAGGTCCTACTTTGATGCATACTATACTTTACAGGGTAGTGTCGGTTAGGAAATTTAAATGTGCTGGTCTCCTCGTCTGAAATGGGACATTAACGATAGTCCTCAATTTCCTTTTACAGGAGAACTTTCGAGAATTCATGTCTACGTCGAGGAAACTGGGCCAACACTGCAGAACCGTTAACATGAGCATTAACTGGTGGCTCCTAGGCTAGACCTGAACTCAGAGATTACGACCCCTACTGAAGAAACTGGCCGCTATCTTGACCTTCAAGGACTGACCATGATAGGCTGGGACACCTTGAAAACATAATGACACCGACTTGAGCCATGTTATGCATATGATAACTCGGCAAGATCTTACTGCGTTGCCGTACCTGTTAGCGGTTAGAGTTAAGGGTTAGATTTAGGGGTTAGGGGTTGGGTTTAGGCGTCAAGGTTAGGTGTTAGGGATTGGGGCTAGGAGTTTGAGGTTAGGGGATTGACGTTAGGGTTAAGGGTTGGGATTAGGATTAAGGGTTAGACTTGGGCTTATCTACTGCAGGTTCGGCTACAAAATAAAATCCGATCGGCAATCCTATAAAAAGTTATCTTTATATTCCTACGACAAATAAATTCCTGCGGTATTGCTTACATAAACACTAGGACAAGACGCTCATACTGAACCTAAGAAATCCGAGCAGTCATGGCAGTGCGACAAACTCACCCGTGAGATCGGAGTCGCCCCTCCCCCTCATCCCTTACTGTGTATAAAATTTTGGTTAGTGTCCGTTATGGACCGGCGGGATGGTGGTGATTGTGATGGTGATGGTAGTGGTGGTGGTGGTGGTGGTGGTGGTGGTGGTGGTGGTGGTAGGGGTGGTGGTGGTGGTGGTAGTAGTGGTGGTGTTGGTGGTGGTGGTACGCCTGGGTGCGGCTTTTCCTCGTATTAGTCACCTGCACCCTCTTCAACCGCTGGTTCTCTTGACTCTGCCTTGACACCGGGCACATGCGGAGGAGGGAAGAGTGCGGTGGATTCTGTGCAAGTCCACGAATACCATAAACAAATTTGCGCCCAAGTCACCGTCCCTGCTCTCACCCTGCTGTGGAGCACACGGCAGACATCGTTGAAATCAACCGTTGAAATGTCACGAGAATTCAATGTAATTTTTCTTATTGTGTATTGTTCGAAAGACACTCGAGTTCGCTGATACAGATGTCATAGGAATAACAATTTCGTCATATTACATGTCGTTGGGTCGATGGAGGAATTTGTTGAGTTTCTGGGTATCCTTGAAATATCCGTTAGGGCTTCGTGACTTTAAAGTCCCCGGTCTACTGTCCAAAAGGCGGGTTCTTTGGTGTGGGCCTATGGACACGCTTGAGATAAGACATTTCTTGAAAGCATTTACCTAAACATTGAGTTTTAATGCGTTCTGTTCTATCTAGGCAGTCTTATAGATCTTATTTTATAGACTCGTCCAAGAACGAGAACGCATCGTTAAAAGAAAACGGAATTCTTTACGAAGGCCTGCATTGAAAATACTTACCGTGTGCTCCACAGCTGTAATTGGTCTTTTCGCGTTTATTTTTGAATATTTGCATATGCCGGGAAAGCGGGAGTACAATAAAACAAAGGATGCCTACAGGAGTCTTCACTGCCTTCACACAAACCTATTACGTGTTTACTCACATCCTCCTTTAGCTGTTTTATGCATAGCAGTCGAGTTGCAAGTGAAAAAAGGTCGTTTTACTAAAATCTTCCCGCATTTATTTGCGCATAGGGGCACAAATATGGCCTTTGGCAGCCACTGACGGAGAAAATTGTCTGAATCTAAGGTGAAGTTGATTTCCGCGGAAATTCGTAATTTTTTTTCTTGACAAAATCACCAGGAAACATGTTCTTTATAAGAATAGATCATTTCCCTCAAAGTACTAGGCGAATAAATAACATGCACAAGGCTTGAGGTGTCCCAGAATGGTCCTCTTACCTTTCCTCTTCAAGTGTCATGTGTTACGTCACCTGCTGTGTGCAGTCCACATCGACAAAAACCTTCTTCACGCTATGCTAATTTCCCCTGGCTTCACATAAATTTTAATTTGTGCAACACCCTCCTCCTTTTCACCGTCTGATGCCCCGCCTTGGGTGGAGCAGTCAAGTTTACGTACTACACAAAAAAATCGGATTGATCACTTCATACACCAGTTTATCACAAAAGACCTATTCAGAGGCCATCCTGCATTTAGGAAGCAACACCCTGTGTCTTACAAATAGAGTACAAATTACAGCCTTCTGCGTCGAGCCAAAAGGGGTTGTTCTGACGAAGAAAGTTATCGAGCAGCAGTGGAACACCTCTACAAACTATTTTCCAAAACTGGGTGTCCGCATGACCGTGTATGTCAAGGCATTTCTGATGCTACGAACGTCCGTGCATCAAAAGCAATCATCTGGCGTGTTTTCCCAAGCGTGGAAAATCTGTCTAGGCTTGTCGAAAGGGAGCTAAAAAAACGCCGGGTACGTACCACGGCACTTACTCCTCCCTTGCCATCATCAGGTTCCCGGAATAAACACTAAACGCCTCCCCTGGCTTTTGTTGACACTTCAGCCTCTTCTGACCATGGTGCTGAGGAGAGGGTTCGGAAGAAGAAGAAGATACAATTACCGGAACAGGAAGTTTAATGGCCTCACGTTTCGGATTCTCACTCAAAACCATCATCAGACACAGTTGCAGATAAAAGGTTATTTACACTGGACTAGGCGCGCGTCTCAGCTGTAGTCGTTTTATCATTAGCTCCCACGTCAATCGATCCATCTCTAGTCTTCTATTTGGTAACTATGCGAAGTGGTAAGTGGACATCCCTACGCTCTCCCTATCATAAGAGGACTTGGCTTATTTGCTCTGGGGCCCTCATCACCTTGCCGTACGTCCATTCCGGCTTGAATAGATGTGAAACGCTTCCAAGCAAGGGTGGACCGAAGGAGATGCACCTAATGAAACGCAGCCTGCCACAATGAACGGGACATGTGCACTCCATTTGTATTGGCAGTCGTGGGTGTTGGAAGATTCGACTGCGAATAATGAACCGTCCCTTAAGACCTGCCAGCGAATGGGTCAAAAGTCACCTGTACATGAGTCGGCTTGATGGGTATAGTGTTCGTGCATTAGTAAAAAAAACATACTTTTGAAGAAGGAGACACGATCGCCCGGACAAGAGCTTTATTAGCCTGACGTTTCGGATTCCTACTCGAATCCATCATCAGAGACAAAAGAGCAGAAAAGGGTGGTTGTTGCACAAGGGGCTGCGGTATTTATAGGATGCAGCAGCCATGCTGCCGCATGCCTATGAACGTTCACGGCTTCCCCCTTCATCCGGGATTGTTACACGTGGGGTGATCATTGCTTATAGGCAGAATGATATTACCGACAAAGACAAGGGAGACTGGAATGGCCATTTCTGGCTTATTAGCCGTCGTCAGCCAGCCATACCCAAGCCCGAAGTGTGGAACACCCGAGCCTCGAACTCGTGACCTGTTGGTTTAGCAGTCAACGCCTCTACTCACCGGGCCACGAGCCCGTTGCCTTGTCGGTTTTCGATCGGGAATATACAGTGTTAGGGGGCGCTCACCGATCGTTCATACGGAACTCACTCGTTCCGTTGTGCCTTATGGACTCTCTCTCGAGCCCAACCAGCAGCAGTTCCGTATGAACGATCGGTGAGCGCCCCCTAACACTGATCATTGCTTGATGGCCGACATTCGAGTCGATAATTGCCGCAATTTCATCACGTGCGTTGGATGTTGGCGTGATGATTGCTCGACCATCTGACGCGTTGACCCGGGTGTTGGGAAGAGTGTTCACCAGTGCGCTCCCCGCGTGGCCAATTACTCCGCCTAGACGAAGTCTCAGCACGCCGTATTGAATGGGAAGATCGTTGCACTTGTTGATGGACTGGGGGCCAGTAAACCATGATTCCAGTAGCTCTCGGCTCACTCGGTTCACTCGGTTGTCACCTCTTGCGAGAATTTCGGCCTCATCGAATTTAAATGTGTGGCCGGATCTCGTCGAATGAGCCGCAACTTGAGAGCTGGCGTCATTTCTGCGCACCGCTGCCGCGTGTTCGGCCATTCTCGTTCGGAGCTGTCTTCCGGTTTCTCCGACGTAGTTGCTTTGTCCGCAACTGCACCAGATCCGATAAACGACTCCAGACGTTTCTAGACGTGGCAGTGTGTCTTTCGGTTTCATGATCAGACGCCTGATGGTTGCCTCCGGTCTGTGTGCCACTCCAACCCCAAGTGGTGCGAGAAGGCGGCCGACAGCTTCCGAAACGTTCTTGACATACGGAAGTGCCCGCCAAGACTTGGTGTCCGTGCGGTTAGGCCTTTCGTCCATTTTGCGTATGCACCGGTCGACGAAGTTGCGCGGGTAGCCATTGGCTTTGAAGACCCGTCGGAGGTATTGTAGTTCAGCAATTTTGTCTTCCGGCTCACTGCAGTGCGTTTCGACACGCCGATAGAGCGTCCTTACACAACTGCGTTTGTGGCTGATTGAGTGGTTACTGTTGAAGTTCAGTACTTGCATTGTATTTGTCGCTTTCCTGAACACTTTGGTCTTTAGTCCACCACAATCCTTGCGGCATACGAGGACATCCAGAAAGGCCAGCTGGTTGTTCTCTTCCTCCTCCATCGTAAATTGAATGTCCGGGAAGACGGTGTTGAGATGTTCTTGGAATGTCAACACCTGATCCCGTTCGATGACGACGAAGGTATCATCCACATACCGGGCCCAGAATTTCGGTCTGTGGTGTTGGAAGACCAGCGACTCTAACCGTTGCAGGACCGCCTCGGCGATATATTCCGAAATCGGCGAACCTATTGTTGTGCCCTTCACCTGTTCGTAGATTGTCCCGTCGAACGTGAAGTACGTCCTGAGACAGAGCTGAAGGAGCTGAAGGATTTGGGCGTGTCCAAGACGGTTCTCCGTTTCATCGTATTTGCTTTGTAGTAGCAGTTCAATTGTCTCGATCGCCAGGTCCTGGGGAATAGAAGTAAAAAGGGATGTAACATCAAAAGATACCATGACCTTATTTGGATGGATGCTTACCCCTTTGAGTTTCTCCAGGAATCGTGCTGACGAAGAGACCGTGGTGTCTGACTCAGCGGTCAGGAACTTGAGACGCCGGAACAGCCACTTCGCCAGTCCGTACGTTGGAGTCCCTTTGAGCGACACGATGGGTCGGAGAGGAGCGCCGTCTTTGTGCACCTTAGGGAGGCCATAGAATCGGGCCAAAGCCGTATCTTGGGGTCTCGCCATGCGTCTGTCGGTCGGTGTTATTGCACCTGAGTTCTCCAAGGCCAACAACGTAGCATTAATTTCGCGTGTCAGCGCCTTTAAAGGGTTCGTTGCACATGGGACATAGAACTGTCGGTCCTCCAGCAAACCTTTGGCTTTTTGAAGGTAGTCTGTCCTGTCCAGTACAACTGTGGCGCGTCCTTTGTCCGCTGGCACGATGACCAGGTCTTTGTCGGCCTTGAGTTCTCTAAGCGCATCACGTTCCACCTTGGAAAGCACTTCCCGCGGCCTGTGGGCCATCAGGAGAGACGACACTTGGTGTCGGATGAGGTTCTTAGTCTCCTCCGTTGCCTCCGTCTGACAAAGGATTGATTCCACTGCTGCAATCATGTTAACAGGTTTGGCGTCAGCCGTGTTAAATGAAGCTTCGTGCCGTAAAACCTGCATCTGATCCTTCGTTAACATTCTTTATGAATCCTTAATTTGTTTTTCAAAAGTCGAGGCCTTTAAGACTGCTAGGGAAACGACTGGATTGAGTATTTTGATAATTTACTTTCCAAATGCCAGACCCAGAGTCAGTCGAATTGAGCAGCTTATGCTCAGTGTGTTAGGAAATACCCACCAACCAACTTCGTTTCTTTGCACTTTTAAGGGAATCGCGTGGATGTGCCCCCAGTTGTCGTCAGACATGTAGCAGTTACAATTTAAACATGCCCGAAGAAATCGATATTGCTTTGTTAGTGCTGAGAATGGGTCAACGCTGTGAGCTGCCGTCACGTTTTTATTGGCTATAACCTTTCTCATTCTTCTTTGAGATTTGTGTATGTGGCGCCAAGATCGATGCGACGATTGGTGCATGAATCATCAGAATAAATGGCCTCCAGGAAATCTCGGCCTTCCTTATATGGGCAGAAGCCGACAATGCGTGTTTTATCCCAAGCAAATTTGTGTCCACTTTCATGAGTATTTATAGCGACTTGGGATAAGTGGTCACGCCTCTAAACTGCCAGGTGGTATTCATGTGGGCGTCTGGAGGCGGATTTCCCCGTTTGACCATAATATACCGCATTACAAGTACCAGTTGAAATTTTATAAACTACCTCTTTTTTATCCAAATAGCCAACCCTATCATTAGGATGTACAAGCTGGTTGTGTGGCACAGTCGTCGGTTTGAGAGCCACCTGTATTTGGTGCTTCCCCAGGTGTCTTTCAACGAGTTCAGACACATTTTTTATGTAAGGAAGCGTTCGCCAGTGTTTTGGTTTTGGTTTCTGATCGGAACAATCTAATTCCTTCTCTCTTTCTTTTGATTTCTACTCTTTCATGCATCGGCGTACAAAATCTCAGGGGCAGCAGTTTGGGGAAAATAGGTTGAACAGATAATCGAGTTCTTCTTTGTACACTTCATTCTCAGAGCATGTCGTCTTTGCTCGATTAAGTAGGGTGTTAACAGCACTCCATTTGTGAGCTATTGGGTGGTTGCTCTCGTAATGTAGGATAACTTTCGCGTAAGCTTCATTGCGGTATGCTGATGTGTGGAATGTCCCGTCAGTTTATAGCAGTACGAAAACATCAAGAAATAGGAAGTTGAAAAGTCAAGTTGGCAAACACGTGTTTTCGATAAGTCTTTGGCAGGCCAATGCAGTTACAGGAAGGGATGAAAATGTACAAAATCAACAGTGTTTATAGATATCTCAATGGCTATAAGTCATTAACACTCATCTTCCCCAAGTCCCCCGCATTAAAAGGTCAGCGGGTTTTGACCCTCAGAGCTAGGGGGGTTAAAAGAGTCCTTGATCCAACAATATCATTCTAAACTCTTTTGTTCCCCTACCCTATCTCTGAAGACCAAAACCCGCCGACCTTTTCATGCGGGCGACTTGGGGAAGATGAGTGTTAATGACTTAATAGCCATTGAGATACCTATAAAAACTGATGATTTTGTACGTTTTCATCCCTTCATGTAACTGTATTGGCCTGCCGAAGAATTACCGAAAACACGTGTTTGCCAGCTTGACTTTCCAAGTGTAACATGGGAATATTTGCGGAACTTAGACAATCCAAAAAGGAGTTTGCTGTTAACTGTTCTTTCGAGAATGATGGTGATTCCCGGTAGGGTTGAGATTTGTGTGCATGGCGTCGAAAATTTACAAAATAAAGTTTGTTTAACTCCCCAAACGACTCATTTTTCCTCAAAAAAATATATGTATACTGCAACCATAATTACGTCGAAAGCTTTTACCAATAATTTAGTAGTCTCCTGTCACTTTGCACAAAGTAGTATGACAACAGCTGTGTCGGTATGAAACGTTGTTCTTAATTGCAATTGCCAGAAATTGGAAAAATACATGATATCTAACTTTTCTGAGAATTGGGCTGAGGGCGTTCGTTACCCAACTCCAATTCGCCAAAACGTTCGAAAAAAATTGAACAGATGTCACTTTATAAATAGCACTTAAGTTCTACACATGATGTTGCCATGACTGAAGGTTTGTCAAACTGCCATTTGCTGTTGCAACACGTGCAGCTGGATTTAGCCTACACAACCCTCCGTTTCGCATTTTGTCCGTGCTATTCTTCCTGCAGAAACCGCATGTTGAAAATTTTCATTGAATTTCTGGACTGAAAGCAGCGTTTCCCTTATTGTCGCCTTCCTTGAGAAGAAAAACAGCTTCCTGTGTCACCTGACGGCACCATATGCTTGCACCATCAGATCATATCCCGTCGCTCCATTTTCTTCACGGCGGCGCAGATGGCAGGAGCCGAATTGTCACCTGCCGTTTTCTAAGAAAAAAACACAACGCCTGTAGTTTTCTAAAACCAGACATGTTTTTTTTATCGCTCTTCGAATTTTGACGACGGGTGTCTTCGGCGTACTCTGATCGACCAGCATAAAATTTACTTGCGCACGTTTAGAGGAGATGCAGTTTTTGAAAAACATCCAAGTCGTCATCTTCCATCTCAGTTAATAACAATTACATGGTCGCAAAAGGATTCCAAATCCGTTAAAAATGAATGATCAGCACAGTTAAACAGGGAGAGCCAAATTCTTTTTTTCAGGCACGCATACCTTTTTGCAACATTTGGAGCGTCACAAAGGACGATGTGCACCGTTCGCCCAAGATAGGGACGGTGATATGCACGTGACTTAGTTTATAGCGATGGCAGACTTGCACAACATCTACACCACCCCATCCTTCCCCATGTATCAGAGCCCTGTGGCAAGGCAGAGCTGAGAAGATCAGAGGCAACGTCGGGTGGGAGGGCTTATGACTGCAAGCAAATCATACATGATCATTCCAAGCTTCCCGTTCTGTGAGATAGTAATCGACCGCAAAAACTTATTCTCCAGTGTGAAAAATCGCATAATTTTGGATATTACTGCCTCCTTACCATAAAATTCAACATGCTTTATGGAAAAACAAAAAGAACCAAGGCGTTACACCAATCCCATAATTATTTTAGCTACTCACCGGTGGTATGTTAAAAAGAGATAAGTTTGGAAAATCAGGTACTTTCAAAAATCTACAGAGAAGATAAGGGGATTTTTGGCTGAATGGTTTTAAACCTGAATGCTGCAACCACAGAGTAGTGTGCAAAACAAATATAGATTATTCTTGTAGTAAATATGCGTCCTACACATGTGTTTATGTGCTAAAGTGTACTAGTATGACTGAGTGTTTGCGTTACATTGTTATATTATTTATATATGTATTTTGTATTAAATTATTTTTATAGTCGAAGTGATTTTTTGCCGGTACAAATGTGAGAAGAATTTATTGATATCAACAAACTTTGCAATGATCAGGATAAGTGAGTACCTGCACCCAATTTGTTTCAAATTCAGGTAAATAAGATCCCTCGAACTTATATCCAGAAGCATCTCCTAGATAAAGCTCACTCGTTGACCCCAGAACGTGCTTCCGAGTACCTGTTCGGGTACGAAAACCTGGGAATCGCGCTACTTGGAGGCAGCCTGCATACGGCTGGAGAATACCGACTTATGCAACCAGTTAGACCACGTGACCAACCTCAACTTGCTCTGACAATCCTCAGTTTTTAGAGTTACACACCCCTTTGCATGTCAACCACCTCATTTGTCTTTCCAAAACTGCGCTTTGGGTTACCATTTTCATTGCTTGGTATGTGTGCAGTAGACGATGATATTGCTCTTCTGCATTGATTTAGCAGCGCAAATTCAAATCGCTGTATCTTGCTTATTCACTATCTGTGTTATGCAGCGAAGGGTTGAAGTTGATAAGTTGTCATGATATTTTTACATGGATTTACACTTAGTGTGCTTTTTAGGCTCAAAGTTTGATATTTAATGCGTATTTCTCATACGATATGCTACTGCAACAAGAGTGTAAGTGAATTAATCCTCAGTCAAACCAATCGAGGATTTCAGCTTCGTAAGTGTGACTAGCATCATAATATAGTCTACGACTATGCTCCGTACAGAAGCATTGTCAGGAAAACAGCACTGAAAATTCTCAGTGACGCGTCAGCATCCTATCGCGAAACTCTTCTTCCATTTGAGTGAATCGCTCAGAAGATTAGAATGGCAGGATTATTTTTGAAGAAGGAGACATGATCGCTGGGACAAGAGCTCTACTAGCCTGACGTTTTGGATTCCTGCTCGAATCCATCATCACAGACAAAAGCAGATACGGATGATTCACGCACAAGGGGCTGCATTACCTGTAGGATGCAGTCGCCATGCTACCGCATACCTATGAACATTCAAGGCCCACCCCCTTCACCAGGGATCGTTGCACTTAGTGTGCTGACTGATTGATGGCCGAAATTCGCGTCGTTACTTGCTGCAATTTCATCACGTGCGTTGGCCGTTGGTGTGATGACTGCTCGACCATGTGATCCACCGACCCTGGCGTTAGGAAAACTGGTCATCTGTGCGCTTCCCGCGTGGATAATTATTCCGCCTAGGCGAAGTCTCAGGACAGAGTATGGAGGGGGAAGGTCGTTGCACTTGTTAATGGATGACGGGCCCGTAAACCATGACTCATGCAGCTCCCGCCGCACGCGGTTGTCATTTCTAGCGGGAATTTCGGCCTTGTCGTCACACCAACATCCAACGCACGTGATGAAATGGCAGCAATTAACGACGCGAATGCCGGCTAACACACAGTCAGCGCACCAAGTGCAACGATCCCTGATGAAGGGGGGGATGGGGGAGGAGCCGTGAATATTGCTAGGTCTGCAGTTGCATGGCGACTGCGTCATACAAATACCGCTACCCCTTGTGCATGAACCACCCGTATCTGCCTTTGTCTCTGAGGATGGGCTCGAGCAGAACTCCAAAACGTCAAACTAATAAAGCTCTTTTCCCAGCGGTCGTGTTTCCTTCTTCAAGACTGCTTCCTGGGACT